TCAATGGCAATTCTTTCATTCCACAACTAGTTATTGTCACAATTATTTATTACCTAAATGTTAAACCCCATTGTTTCTCTCGTAATCTTCTCCATGGAAAACGATTAGAGAAAGTGAGTCCGTGTAATAAAGATAGGCACCAATATTTACATGTAGAGTTTTTAGAAATTTCAACTGATAAGAGTTTTTGAAATATTTTAATGGATAGGGATATCCATGGTGAGAGACTCTTGATTTTTTAAAAAAGATAGAGATAGACATATTATTACCACACCATTGACACATCGTTTTATCATATAATGATGTCAAGTGGCCTTAATAAGGAGAAGTGTTATTTGTCTCATTTTTTAAATTTTTTAGCTGGTATGAACTAAAAAATATTATATGGTAAAATTTAACTAGTTGTAAATAGTATAAAATAAAATTTAATATTTTAGTAAAATATTTATTTAAAAAATGAATCAAAGGAGCTTGTAGGCACGCCGACTTCACAATTCTTAGAGAGGGTTTTGGAATTAAGTTTTTGAAACACATTTATTGGTATAAACATATGATTTGCTTCATTTCTAATCATCATTCTAGAAAAATAATAAAGAATAAAAGAACTAGCTTTTACTCGATATAATTGATGACAATTTTACTATGCATCTTAATGATTTACTAAGATAAATGTATTCTATATTTATTACCTAATTGATTTACACTCTTAAACTCTGAATTTACTTAACACTTTTGATTTGTATTTGCTTGTACTTTTCTTAAATAATTATGATGTAATTCTATTTTTCCCCCCCGACATTTAGTAAGCATAAACTTTGGTGGTATTGTGAGACGGAAATCACTTGGACTTGGCACCTACCACCACTAGTTGTTCGAAAACAATTCTTCATGGATAAAAAAGTTTATCATAAAAGGTTGATATGTAAATAAATTCTCTTATGTATGAATTATGATAGTGGCTGTGTGTGTGTGTATATATATATACACGCACACACGTATTTAGATAACTATTCCCATTAAAGCACGTAGATATATACTTTGATTAATGCATCAACTAAATTCCAAGTGCTAACAGCATTTCGTGCAAGAAAACAAATACACATGAAGTGAGTGCGCACACTATATATATATATATATATATATATATGTATGTATGCTATGTTAGATATATTGGAATATCAATTGTCTCACTTTTGAGTGCTCCACAACATCTTCTCAATCTTATCTTGCCAAAACATGCCCATGTTTGTTACTTCAGGGTTTCTGTGGGGTTACCCACGTCATATACATGTTAAAGATATAAATGGAAAGTTTTTCACATGATTATCTACATACACTACGTATGTATATGTGCCATATATAGCCAAGTCGTGTCATGATCACTTTGTGGTGAAGATTAACTCGGCAAGATTTTATAAATTCAAATATTATTCGTGTCTAAAGAGAAGCGCCAGCCTAGTCCAGATCTTTTGCTAGCTAATATAAAGTTTTGTTTTGATTTGGTGAGATGTTCAATCATTGAGTTTTAAGAAAAAAGAAATGTCTCGAGTGGGAAAAAAAAAAAAAAAAGGATGTTTGACTAAAGGTATTGGACCATAAGTAAATGTAAAGGAGTTGATTTATTCATAGATATATTGATAATAATTTCACGTGGGGCAACTTTTTTACTCATTTTCTTCTTCATGTTTATATATATATATATATATATATGACATGAACTGGGTTATACGTACAGTGCATGGCAAAATAGAAATGATTGGGAGCATGCGGTAAAATTCCAGCAACATGGTACATTTAATTATATTTATATTTTTAATTACATTACATTTTATGTTATTTTAGTAAATTTATTAAATACAGTATTTTGTAGTGAGGTACGTACTCAATACACTTTTTATGTAATATTTAAAAAATCTAAATCAGCTCTTATACTTTATTTTTGGTGTAATATTAATCCTTATTGTTAGTGGGTGTTATAATCATGTTTAATTATGATGGAAAATGGAGAGGTGTAATATGTAGGTGAGAGGAGAAAGAGAGTCGCACTAAGAGTGTGTGCTGTGGAAGAGATATATATATATATATATTTTTTTTTCTGATCAACTTGTGGAAGAGATTCAAAATGAATATATATATATATATACTTACATATATATATATATAGATATATATATATATATATATAAGTATCACCCACATGATATTTGTCAAATTTTGATATATTAGATGCCTCATATTTCCTTAATTAACAAAATTTGAAGTAATGTAGCAAATTCTTGAGCATGATTCTTTTTCACATCAAATTAAAAGTTTGTGTTCCTCCAATAATAATTATCAAGAGCAATAAAAATAAAAATAACAACAATTATCTATTTATTTTTTTAAACTATTCATTCATTTATATATATATATATATATAAAATGTCTCCTCACTATTTAGGGTACAAGAGTGGTGTCTCTTTATTTTTTTAAATTTTTTTCTCACGACTTTTAATTTTTTGTATCTCCTTTTGAGAGCTTTTTCTTTTCTAAAGCTCACACTTTTTTGAGCGAAATTTAAAAAAAAAATTTAAAAAAATATTTAAAGAACTTTTTAGTATTGTACACATAAACATATTTTATCTCTTTACTTGTTTCTTTTTTATTGTGGTGTTTATATGAAATAGACTGAGTTTTGTTTATTAAAGATAAATTAATGTGTAATCACCAAAAATTATACTTACCTTTCTCCACTAAGAAATGAACTACCATTTGTCCTCAAAACAATATACTATCATCTTCATTAAATAGCCAAGTTACTTTTATCCAATAAGAAGTAGATTGACACATGGTAATCTTGAGAGTTCTGTCTGTTTATCTAATTTTCTATATCTTTTTATAAGATTCATTTTACTTTATATTTATTATCCATTTGGTATTATTTTTATTTATATTTATTGTCTAATCGATGTTTATTATCCCTTCGAGCTTTTGACAATAATTTTTTACTATCAATCAAGATTTATTTCCGTATGATATTTTTTATTCATCAAGTCTTTTATTAATTTAGTACTTACTATGCACTAAGCCTTTTGTCCACTTAATATTTACTCTCCTCCTAACTAGCTTAGCAAATAATTTTTTATTTCTTTTTAAGGACGAAATTTTTTATTTGTCTAGTGACGAACCGTTTATCAATCTAGTAGACTTTAAGTTAAAACAATATACATCTTCAAGAGGTACACGATTTTAAAGGCAATTACCATTGAGAGAGCTTTATGTGTTTTACAATCGATTTGTCTACTTTTAGTTATTTTTTTCTTGTTAGATATTTTGTTGCCACTTGCCATAAAATATGATTATTTTAGATATTTAACTTCTAGTAACGTCATATGTCTCTATGGTAATACGACAGTACTCTAAAAATATTCAAATTTAAAGAAGTTATTAGAGGTAATATAAAACACTAAAGTTTGATATTGACATTGTTTGGTGATTCAAATATTTAAGTTTAAACTAGAATTATAAAGAACCTACAATATAATGTGGATTGGTTGATTAATATTTAAATTACATGCACTTCTCATATTTTTTACCTATTGTGAAAGTAGACAATTCTAATATTTAATGGTAAATTAAATATACTAAAAATATAAGAATTATTTACTCCACAAACCATGGTGGGAAGTGGAATCCAAATATATATGAAATGATATAAAACAAAAAGTATTGTCATAATCAAATATATTAAAAATAGAAGAATTATTTACTCCACAAACCATGGTGAGAAGTGGAACCCAAATATATATGAAACGATATAAAACAGAAAGTATTGTCATAATTAAATATACTAAAAATAAAATAATTATTTACTCCACAAATCATAACGGGAAGTGAAATTCAAATATATATGAAATGATATACAACTTTAAAGGTTTTCATACAATTTCTATGGCTACCATTTTTTTGAAGAAATCTTCCTTTGTTTGAGAATGTAACTTATGACAAGTAAAAGTTCATAAAATATTTTGATTTATTTTTTCTAATTCTCACACTTTCGCATATATTAATATAAAATATCTTGTAACAAAAAGAAAAAATCTATTTCATTCTCATGAAACTTTTCTTTCAAATATATTCTATATACCACGTGAGCCTCCCCATATATGCATTGAGAGTAATGACATACTTGATATGCATTATAAAAATTTATTCTTGAAAAATATGTTGTTGTCATCAAATAATTAAGATCGTAAAAAATCACATGCCATAAGAGAGAACATTACCATTTAGTCATGAAGAAGCTATCCTAGTTAACTTTCTTTTGCCAATTACCTGACCTACTAATCAAGGCTTCTTAAGATGCCTTTTAAATTATGTGTTGATTTGAAATGTATATAGTAAAAAAGAAAAAAAAAATTCCTAAAGGTATAATGCTATAAATGCCCTCTGATTTTTTTTTTAGTAAAAATTT